TGTGTTATGTAATGGTATCGTACGATATACAAGTACACTATTTATCTGTCTATACAAGTACACTATCTATCTATCTATCTATCTGTACAAGTACACTATCTATCTATCTATCTATCTATACAAGTACACTATATATCTATCTATCTATCTATCTATCTATCGAGATAGATAGATAGATCTAATCTTCTATTTCTATATTCTCAAAGGTATCATAGCGACGAAGGTAGGTGTACGGGTAAAAGACCAAATCGAAGTTAAATTGATGTTTGGACTCGTAAAAAACTTTATATACATAGCCTTGTAGAACTTGGCCACTCTGCGTATTTTCGCTAAATTATATTTTGCACTTCTAGGCCAACAACTATCTACCTGCTTGCTGTAAGAAGCAATACTTTCCTAGCACATAAAAGGAGATCTGGACGCAAAACTTGTTCACTGCGACTGCGGGCTAAATTGTCTGAGACAATGCGACCCTAAGGACTCTTCAGCTTCTCTCATCAAAGCTGGACCCTGTTTTATGTTGAACTATAGCAACAGTCCTGTCCGTCGACGATTGTGAGACCTCGCTGGTCTCCATTCTATTTTTGTCTAGGTAGCCGGCGACTGGGTGATGGGTGGCGACCACAAATTTATGTCCGTTCAGTGGTTCCGAATACTTTTTGCGTTTGCCGCCCCCCCATTGTTTAGCCTTGACCATGTTGTCGACGGCAGTTGGTCACGACGATTTAGCAGATGTGACGAGTGTGTGAAACTGGCCTGTATGTATGCGTGGTGTTTGTCGTTAACAATAGCAGGCCACCACTGATGATGCTGGTGACGAAGATAGCGGTATTTCTCATAGCAAGCTTCTTTATTCGCCGCTAGTGCGGCAGTGGCCATAATAGCCACTACCACTTCCTTCTCTGGGCTCCCTGGGGACCATATCCTCTCAGTTCGGTACTACTTGGACACTACTCACAGCATTGACAGCGACGGTGGGAGGCGAACGATCAGTGCTATACGCACGCACGCACACAGACTTGAAGCTTATCTAGATTCATGCCCAACGGCTCAGCCCTCTATTTGCCCTGTCCAACCCCAACCGTTGCTGCCTGGCTTGACGTCTGTCCGGTCCGGGTCTAGCTTACTACCACTCGGCTCCACTTGAGTAAGCCAACGGCCATCACACTGAGGTGTAGGCAACAGCCGAGTGGGCAAAGCTCGGTCAGTTCATCCGTTCGTTCACCCGTTTTGATTTGCTCGCCGCTGGCCTTGCTGCCAACAGCATCTACAGCGGCTGCAGTGGCTGTGACAGCTAGGGTTGCAATTCTTCTGCCGCTGCTACTGCAATGTTGTCGAAGATCAACAACAACAGTTGCGTGTTAGGGAGAGAAGATGGCGGTAGAACGCAGGCCATTTGCACAACAGCGGCGGCTCTCGTCGATGGACTTTGCCGTTTTAAAGAATGAGGAAATGAACGCAGCCTTTATGCGGATGACCGAACGACGGACGACAGTCACAAATGTAGTAAGGATCTAATGCTGCTGTTATCACAGTTTCCACTAATGATACTATCGTCATCAGAAACTACATATTCGAACTTACTGGAGTGCGCGTAGTCATAGCGGTAACCATATGGGTAAATAAAGCTCAACGTATCTAAGTCGAGGACATGAACAGTGTACACATTTAAAAGGTGCATAAAGTACGTGTCTGGTATTAAGGAGAAGCACATCGAACTCGTTATACAAAACACCGAACATGTGATATATATGTATATATATATGTACAATGTGTATATACAATCGTGGTACACACAGTATTTGTGATTTAGTCTATCGATCAAATAGGGCGATAGCAGAAGTGGGCAGGCTAAACAACGGGCAGCCGCACATAGTTTAAACAGAGAAGGTACACATATGTACACGTGAATGCGGTATAGTAACAAACGGAGAGCGAAAGTACGCGAACCACCGGAGCGCAAGCAAGCAACTAAACGAAGTAAACCAGTTTTAAGACGGCTTGTTCATGCCCATTGGTCGGTGTTAAGCCGAGCCAGCTGGAACGGAACAGGAAAAAGTAGCAATCGCAGGCGACATTCAGCAACGATGCAAAATTGGCTTTTTACTTATTGGCTCATTGGCAGGCTATCTAGGGGCTGAAACCCACAGCTATCGTATGGTTTAAACTTGGAGCAACAGTACGCGCACCGCATAACACAGCACGACGCAAGGGGCAGGCTCACTCATCTGCGCAAGGTACTACCTCTGCCACTGATGCTGATGCTGCTGATAGGTAGTGGCGTAGGCAAACCGTGATACTAGAAGAAGCTCTCGGTATGTAAGCGCCAATATATAAGTGGCATTCGTTAACGATTTTGAAGTTAATCGTGTGCTTTTTTGTTTCGCTTCCTCTTATGCTCCGCTAAAAATAGAAGCTACCGCTTTCCCTGGCCTGCTATCGCCGGCCGTTCGTTCATCGTCTACCCGAAAGTACGCAAGGGGCAAATAGGGTAAAGCAGCTACCCGCCGTTACAAATCGTATCACAGTCATTATCAGGGGAGGCTGCAAACAAACATAATCAGTGCAATTGTTTTCATTGTTCAATCTATGAGCACATAGATAGCGTGGGTTTGAAACGTCAAATATACGTAAAACGTTTGTTCAATATTGCTCATCTTATTCAGAATGCCAATTGCTAAGTTAACAACGCTCTTATTTATCGGTCTTACGTATCATATGTATACAGATATCAAGTCATGTATAGTTTTGTTCGCTAATTTCAAGAGAAGAACTCTACTATGCTGTGCTTCCGCCCTGTGTATTAACTGTGAAAGGTGTTTATGTCAATTTTCAGTGACTCATATGAAGGTCGTATAATTTGATTGTTTGTTGAGCGGCTGACCCAGTTTCTATCAGGCCTCTTTGCGTCCTCCTATTTTCCTAATAGTATAGACAAAATATCGATTGTCTGAATTGCGATCAGTGCGGCGCAGTGCTGCGGGCAGTAACAATAACAGCACAGAGGACTGGGTAAAGTGAATTTACAGCCAAACGTACATAACGGCATCTCCAGCAGCAGCATTACTACCGTCAGCAGCCAGGGCCCCCAAATAGTGTCTTTTTGCCACCGGAGCTGCAGGTGACAACGACACCATGGCAATACCGACGGAAGAGGCTTCGGCAACGGCCACAGAGGCGGTGGTAACAGCGATGGGACACTAATAAGAGTCTCTGGCCCACCGGCCCCTGGTGCTGGGATTTCTGTAGCAGTGGCAGCGCAAGCAGGCAGTCAGTCGGCGCGCCATCCCCATAAGGCTTTTGCTAACTGTCTGGATTAACATTCTGTCACTCGATGCCCAATTCACCCGAAGTTCGCCTCCGCTGGTCTTCCTGTTGACGACACGGAAAAAGGGGAGAGGTGGCAACGCTGTCTCGATGCTTCTTCCGACGACAATGATTGTGCTAGACTGAGGAGAACACTCAATCGTTCGGCAACTTCTCGTCTTATATATTCCCTAAGTATATAGCAGCAACAGCGCAAGCACCAACCTAACCCATTTGCACCCAGAGTGATGAATATTGCTTGATCCCATACCCTTACACCCGCAATGTTTCTACCTGAACCAACCAAAGTTGCCTGGCCTTTTGGGGCCGCGAGTTGCTACAGTAGCTCGGCTGGTTCACGAAACGATTCGAGCTTGGAAAGCACGATTAGAGTTTATGAAGCTGATAGTGGCGCCACCTACGGCAGACACCCAAATCCTTCGGTTGATCGCAGTAATGAAGGGGAGAAAGGGACTGCTTAGATATGCTTACAACGCAAACGCACGCATGCACACGAGTGAGGGGCCAAGGCAGCGAAAGGCCGGGCGGCCGGCTTATGGATGCGGCGGTGGTTAGCGACCCCCTAGCAGCTTCCACTGTCCTAGGCCTGCTGTGGTTGTTTTCCAGTGGCCTCGTTCTTCGACAATTTCCCTTCTATTCACACGGCACCTTCCTCTATAGCCTTTTGCACTCTTCTATACAACAGTTCTTACTATCCGACGATGGTAACGGCGTCCTGCTTGTCTATCTAAGTACCTTTGCTCCCGAGGAAAAGTGATGTCCAGTTGGTGCCTGCCGTTAGACCTAACAGCGACTCCCAGCCTTCGAGCCGCGTCCTTCCCTCTAAGCCTACAGGCAAAACAGCGAACGGCAGCCGCCGTATAAAGGCCCCAGTGAACAACCCATCCTGAATTCCCTCCACCGTAACCCCATGCCCTATCCAAGCCCTTTCCTATTATCCCGTCGCGACTCCCGGGACGCCCGGCCTGGGACAGACCCATCATCCTCAATGTAGTCGCCTTCCCGCCCAATTCGCTTGCGCCCTTCCAGTGGGATGCACTAGTAGAGCCATCGGTATTATTGTTGGCAGCGTAGCAGAACTAACGGGACCAGACAAACGAAATGTCCACCGCGAATAACACCGCCTGCAAATTCGACGTCCACCAACACCCACCATCATCACCAGCAGCATTATCGTCTTCATCTATCTACCTTAGTACTGCTATTGAAGGAACTGCCACTGCTAAATTAACTATAGTTACGTTCAAAGGAAAGCAACTAAAGAGCGCGAAAATTGAAAATTTACAAATATTCAATATAGTAGTTTAGTAGCGTTCAGCATGTCAGTTTTCTATAGCCTAATAACAGCTCACTAGATAAAGACACCACTTTTTCCAGCACTGCCTTTGTATTTGGAGCTCAGTCAGTCGTCGAAATATTGATTCATTTATTTTTTCACTATATATCTCCTCAAAGGCTGGTTGCATCGGCTCATTGTAAAAAGCATTGTATAAACCTATGCGCCTGTGTGTGTGTGTGTGCTTCGTGTATCGATTTAGGCTGAGAACGTCTGTGTGTGTGTGATGCCTATCTGTATTAGACTATCCCTGTATCTGCCTATACAACAAAATGGGCTGTTTTATTATATCTCACCAGTCGTCCGCCACTTTTTTTATTGCGAAGGAAAGAGAGGAGTTAAAAAGAGACTAATCTCGTTCTCTCGCTATCAGACATTACCACCAGCAAACCTCTAATTTTGTCCGGCATCGCGAGCGAGGAAGGAGGTACGGTCCAGGAATACCGCCGCTGGAAGGCAAGAGCCTCATAGCGATCCCAGGTGATCTCTACTTGCCCCCCACAATGCTGCCTCGATGTCGTGCACCTCATTACCCCTGCCTCTCCCCAACCCCTGCGCCGCCAAAGACTGCCCTTTCCACGGCCCTCTCTCTTCAGCCGCACCTCTGTGTTGTTTGCTGATACCAAATAAAGGGAAATTCGTTCCGACGCTCGTTCAGACTGGAACCGAGAGGGCGAAAGCTCTTTTAATGACAACAGATTTTTCGGGATGTTGCTGCTGCTGCTGCTTCAAAAACTAAATAGATTTTGTGAAGAGTATCAGGAAGATAATGAAGTGCCATTTTGGATCGGTTGAGAAATACGCATCTACAGAGAGTAATAGCTTCGAAAAAAATCATCCCAGAAAATGTATGCATCGCTTAATTTATTTTTAGTCGTTTGGAATTTATCGGCACACTTCGATACAAGATTCAATGCTATTTATGATAATTTGGTATCGACTTGAATTATTAATCGTCACATATCGAATAATACTCGTCTAAATGCAATTACATCCGGTGTGGATATCTTCCAGTAAACAAAGATAGCGAAATTTTACCCTGAAGATATTCAATATTGCAAACAAGGGATCCTCATCATAGCAGACGACACCTAGGGTGATAGTCCAGGAAAATTATTTTCGTTAGTATTCACGCGTTTATTAAGTATACAGATGCTGCGATATATTTACTATTAGCTGGCGACCTAAAGATATTACTACTAATTGGCTGGGCATTGTTGGCGGAAAATCAACACTGAATAGAAACCTAACGTCCTGTATAGTTTTGCGCCGACAAGCAATTTACGTGCTATGAATGGCGCAACCATCGCTTTAGGAGAGAGGGAACTCGGCGGGCTTTATTCGCGGACACCAGACATGGAGAGTGGGGGCGGTGGGGGTATTAAATGAGAGTATGATTTGAAAACGGGTGAGGCGGCTGCCTCACTAAATCGGTCATCGGTTGCAAGAAACGAAACGTCATGATGATGGAAGAAGCGCAAAGCGGGCTTTGGATTAGCTGGCTAACTGGTTGCACTTACCATTATTACATGCATGCAGACATGGAGGAACACGGTCGTCAAGGAGAAAATGAACGAGCGCGTGTTGTCCGATCAGCTTTACTCTTAGCAGCTACGCCTGTGTCTTTTCTCTCCTTTTCACCCTCGGCTACTCACAACCTCTAGTTTCCTCTCATATCCTCCGGGTGCCCCGGTCTAGATCTGTTCGCCGAGCGAGGGATCTGTCTAGAAGCATAGAGCAAGATGGGAACTCCGAGCGAAAGACACGAGCGGCCAACAGGACGAACCTCCAGGGAGAGGGCCGACAAAGCTAACACATGCTACCTGCCTGCCTCCCTAGCTAGAGCATACCCACCCTTAGCAAGAACGAAGCCGACATTCAACAAACGAACACGCGGGGCCGGCAGGCTCTCTGCGTACTTTCCTAGTGCTGAATAGCTATATGGCTAGATCGCTTGCCCAAATGAACGCTTCTGCTACGGCTGCTGAGCCCTCCCGCCGTTCGCCGTTGATCCCGATGAAATATGGACGAGATTTATGTCAGAGCCCCCGTTGCCTCACCCTCCCGTTTCCCGTCCCCTGCTTGGCTGTTTCTCGCGCGCCGCGACCCTATCGTTTCGATTGCCTAAAACTGCTGTGCGTTCTTACTCAGCGCCCTCTTACTCGCGCAAAGTTGTTTTCCCCAATCGTCTACTATTGCCGTTCCTTTGTCCCCACTCCCGTCACCGTGGCCAGGCCTCTCCTAGTCGTTAGTCGGGTCTTGACACTATTCGAATTCCCAACAACCCAACTGTAGCAGCGTTTCTCATTCGCGGCGGACGCCGGCTCGTTCTGCTCTCAAGCGCGATATCACGGCGCTGTTATCCATTCATTAGGATCTATCCATTATTAAACGCGAATCGCGCACAACAACGAACCACACCCCGCATGCTATGGCTCACAATTGTTGTACATCTCCATTGCAGTTGAAGCACCTAATGTCTATTTAAACGAATCGTTTGTTCATTCACCCACCAAGAACGACGCGAAAAACAATCCTACGTGTCGATATCATTTCACCATAATTGGGTTCTAATTGGGAGTGTATTAATGTAAAATTGTGACAAGATTGCGCAACTACTTGTAGCATTGTGCTTGCAGTACAGAAACAGGCGGCATTTACGTTATGAACCAAGCACGATGAACGATGTAACATGGATGAAGACACACGTTATTCATCATCATCATCATCATCATCATCATCACTACGTTTGTCTACTTCGCTTATACAGAATTGAGAGTTCGTTCTACAACGCCGCACGATGGGTGGAGTAATGAACAGCTTCTGATCGATGACTTGTCGCTCATCAGTTGCTGCGCGACTCCACCGCAAGGAGCAAAGGTTCACACCAATATATAGTGCAGATAGGTATATTTATCATCGACTGGCAGTACAAAATCAATTTAATCGTGTACTTCATAATCTCCAAAACGAGCTTCAAACAGACGGGTATTATTTTTCACGTTGACCATTATTGTAGTATAGTAGTAATATTATTATCAAGAATACCGCGACCTCATGGAGTATAAAGCTTATGTCCATCTGTGATAGTGTGTCTAGAATGTAAGCTTTTGTAAAATGTTTCGGCTCTGGGGTGCGGACATTGACAGCGTTTGCCCTTCGAGTAGTATATAAAACAGCGAGGCTGATGGACATTGGATGGCCGAACGGATGCGAGCCAGATCTTAAAGCTAAGCATACGTCAACGCACAATACTTTTGCTGCATTATTACCGTCATCATTATACAAGAGGCCGGGCTTTTTCCCGACATCGTACGCTGTTATTTCGGCAGACAACGAAGTATAGGACCTAACCAGAGCTAAGGGGATGCTTCGGTGTACAATGTTACAAAAAGCATTGTCGTTGTTGTTGTTTGGAATCTCCAGAAAATCGTACGGCATGACGAAGTCTTCCGTTCCGCCAGTGACAAAGGCAGTTACAGCTCTGAAACCGCTCAAATCCTACATATTAGCAGCTAATAATAATACGGCAATTTATTTCAGATCTTAGTTAAACTTTGATGAAGGGATTTCTTTAGGGCTGCGGCAGCAGGCCTGCTGCTCCTTTTCCAAGCAAAAATAATGCGACCCAAAAAACAATGACAAAAGAAAAAGGGGACGTGGGGAGAAAATAGATGTATCCCTCCAACGTTCGGGAATATAGACATTGATGCGCCTGGATTGTCCAGACTTGATTTGGACAGCAAAAACCGAACGTTACTTAGTAATGCTGCCATTGTAAAGGTAGCCACCAAAGGAAATATTATATAATATGAATAATTAATTAAGGACAGACGTTATTTTAACAGTAGAATATGAACTGTGAATATAGTTTGGGTAAGTCTATCCTCGTTTATTAACAATTTGTTCAAATCGGCAACTATGATGATTATTAGAAATATGGTTGTGTCTTTTGATCTTAGCTCTTATTATATGAAGAGGGCATTTCACAGGGTTCTAGTGCAGGGATGAATGAATGGTCCGCTTAATCCAATCGTTACCCTGTGCCCTAACTTCAGCCTATAATATATAGGTTGAAATTAGGGTACAAATATTAGGATAGCCAAAACTTCAGGCAAGCACTCCGAGAAGTTACCTATATTTCCCGTTGTTACTACCAGTATTCTCAACATCATCGCCACAGCCACCGGTGTCACCTCTCACCATGACGACCGCTCCTTTATTCTCTGTTTTTTATTAAAAACTGACTAGGGTAAGTGAGAGCAAACAAACAGCGTTAGCTTGTCTATAGTTAATGAAACTCTTAATCGGACTTTGCTTGGATAAATCGGCTTTTTCGAATAGGCCAACCACTACGATGGCTACCGTTCCCTTAAAAACTATCAGTGCACTAGCCTGCAGATACGTACAAACCGCCCTTCCTCTAACTCCCTGCCCGGTCATGTGGTTAGCACTGCAAAGCCATTGCTTTCATACTGTTCATAGTTGGTTTTTCGTCTCGTCTGTTTCCTTCTTGTAAAGTGGAAAGGGAAAACTACACTAGACAAAGAAAACTGCGCTAGACAAAGAGGGATAGGTAATCTTCCAGTCGTTTTTTGCTTGCTATGTATCACGTTGTTTCGGATTGACTCTGATGATCTGAAATAGCCCGATCTAATCATATCATCGCCGGTTGCTGTGGGAACCACACAGCGTCAGCAGGCCAAAGAGGCTTACTTCGTCCGTTAGCGAGCGCTGAAGGGACGGCCGCTATTTTAGATAGTAGTTGTAAAAGAAAAAAGGCGTGAAGTCAGAACATTTCAGAAAATTTAGCCCGATCACAGCCGGCAGCTGACAACATCGTTCTGGCAGAGTAAACAGTCATCACCGAATAACCACCTCGATCGGCCAGTCAACTCTGCTGAACGCTGAACTTCTGATAGAAGAATAGGCCATTTGCTGGGATAGGACAGTGAAGACAATTTGGGTAACAAGCAGTTGTCACTGTTATATCTGCTCGGTGATGCCGCGAAGAAAAAATGGTTACGGTAGATTAGAAGCTAACAAGTAAAGTCCTAGACAATCGATTGTCTCACAAATTATAGCTATTAGCACATCGGAGACGAAAGCCACTGTCGCTATATTATATTAAACAATTAGCTCAACGTTTTAAAGTAAGTTCAACTTCGAAACAGCATTCTTGAAGCCAGTTCGTGATTCCTCTGCTAGCAACCCTGTATTTCGTCTTGACTCACCTGAAAATGGCACAGGCGAAACAAACGCTAATTGCTAACAAATAGTCACTATGACATTATGTAAACAGATACGTACGAAGACAATGGATTAAGTAGCGAATCCATTGTCTCTCACCTACCCTGTACCACTGAATTAGGTCAGAATGAATTAATTACGTCATGTAAGAGACACGGTAAAAATATTAAGATCAATAACGAATATGGTGTGTAGTTATTTTCAGATCTGAGGATTTCGGATGGAAGTGAGCGCTACCGGTGATGATGTTCGCGGGCAGATGCTTGTAGCAGCGCGCTGCTGGCGATTGCCGTAACCAGAGCCACAATTATATGGACGTTAGCGACGGGTACGCTACAGAATAGAGCATGCACAGTAGATAGGATCGAGCAAGGGGAACCACCCACACAACTGGAACCGTCGATAGACTACAATCGCCTGCCTCATAAATTTATATATTTTTTTTCATGTAATAAAGCAAAACAAATAGGGGAGGCTCGTGTAAGGAGCACGAACAAATTCTGTGAGACATTCTGTGAAATTACCGAGACAATCTCTGTAATTCTGTAATAAGTTAATGACTAGTGAGGAAGTTCAGGGAGTTCAGGGGTACGGAGTTTTGCTAATGGCTAATTATGACGATGGGATACGGGTGCCAATGGATAGATAGCACGCAATACCATTCCGCCTCAATTGCCAGTCCGCAATTGCTCTCAATAATATCTGATAGGACGATAATACAACTAAGTAACAACTAATTTACTGACTAATTGTTCCTCATTGTATAGAAGGATGGATTAATGACGGCGATCGAGCAAGCGTTTCCCAAATCGCGTATTTACGAAGGCAAATTTAGAAAAATTCGAAGTATACGTATCCTTCAGGCAATGATTACTTGAGAGCATCATTATCGTCCTTGCTTTTACTACCACTTCATTAGTCAGATATTTCTGTCTAGAATTTTTAAACCATCTATGTGCGTCGTATTGGATTGCGCTTAGACGAACCGTAGCTGTGTACCGTTTTTCAATTAGAAAAAAACCAAATCATAATTATCACCGAAAATTGCTAGAGCAAATTAATAACAGCTCAAGAGAACTGCTACATTCGTTGATGGCGAAGGCCAAAACCACTATGGCACTTCAAGCAACAGCAGCAAACAACCACCGGCGGAAAGACGACAACATTCAGACAACGCCCACTTCTTGTCGATGCTCCGGAAACGGGACGTAGGCTCGTTGTTTGCGTTTTCTGCCCGAGTGTAGCGCTGCGCTAATACGGTGACTCCCTCCAGCAATCCTCTTTATTACGATCTTCGATTCTGTAGCGTCGCGTTTACGTATAGCGTTCTCTATATTCCTCGATCGCCTGCCTGCTTTATGTAGTTCTCTGTCCATTTATTCCTGCTGCTGTTGTAGGAATCCTTCATTCGTTTGAGCTCTGCTCTGGTCTGCTTCCATCTTAGCTGAAGCAGATGTTTTCAAGCCAACAAACACAATGCTATAACAGTAGTACTCATTCGCCATTTTGCCATTTCTTGTCAGTTCACCTTAGCATCATGATCATCATCGCCGCCGCTATCATCAACAACAACAACAACGGATCTTCATTGGCGGACTGATACTGCGCTAGATGGCCGACGTTCAAACGGTTACTTAATGGTACAGGCCGCACGAAGTCGTTGCCGTTTCGTCCCTAACGACAGCTTCAACGGCGTCGACATCGGTAATAACGGCGACGGCGACGGCGACGGAAATTTGATCGATGCGTGTTGTCTTCGTTTTTCGCCCTTTTCGTTTACGTTCAGAGACGCTTTCTGTTGGTACGTTTTGCCGCTTCTACGTCTGCTTCAGACCGAAGAGTAGAGATGAACAAACGTGGGGCAGAGAAGAAAGCGGCGCCTACCGAAAACGACCGAATAACGAAGATGACCACATAACAAAAGCGGAATAAAAAATAATGACGCGTTATACGTCTAGAGAGCGCCCTTTCGCCTGGCGGCGTACCGCTCGGCAGCACTGAACGCTGCTTGACCAGCGTCCGCACTTGAGCCGCCGTATTCCATAGCTAAGCTCATTGATTTATTACTTTAAAGGAAATGAAAATACGCTCAACAATGGTAATAATAACGATCATCAATGATAATAGCATATGGGATCCAGAAGCACCGACACAAGCGTAGACGGTGAATATACTATTATCGGTATGATGACTGTGCTCATTCAACAATTGCATAAGTAGTAATCTGCGCGAACAGCATCAAGCGGATGAACTACATGATTCTATTTATTTGGAATCTATTTAGGCTGCTTCAATCTCTCCGCGGATTTTACAACGACTAACCTAAGGGCACCTAAGGGTTCGTTTTGTGAGACTGGCACTGGTAAGTGCTCATTTACCAATTACTGGTACTACTCGGACATATACAAAATGCTTCTGTTATGATAGAGTTTCTTGGACGTTCGTAACGTTCCACATGAAAAGTTTGTTTTTTTGGTAACAATGTTTTGCGTTTTGTGCAAATGTAGATCATGATCGTTTGAAATCGAAGTTTCATCGTTGGTGCTGCAAACCTGCGATCTTCCGACCCTTCAGTCGTACGCAAATTTCAGTTTGTCCTTTTTCGTCCTTATATCAACCCGGTCGGCGAGAGGAAAGGCAGACGATTCAAAGATAGAACAGCATTGTTGGTCGAAACGGTCGGA